TCATCCATATTTTCTGGTAACTAAATGAAATCATATATACTTCCCCCCACTATCGCGCTAGTAATTTATAAAAACAATTTGGGCAGATTTTCATTACCATCGGAGGTCTTTCCAGCTTACGTCACGGAAGTGTGGAGTATACTCATCCAGCTTTTGACATTACGAAAGCTTTGGATCAGCTATGGCATGCTGCCCTCTTATGCAAACTTTCATCCCATAGTCTCCCAGAGAAGTTTTTCCGATGGGTGGCTGAATTTCTCTTTGGCCGTAAGATATCCGTCGTAATTGACAATGTCAACGCGGGCGTTCTCTAGGGATCGGCTCCTAGTGCGTAGAACTTCGTATATCCAGGCCGGTACCACCGCTCCTGTGTCCCTAGGGTGCCGAGGTGGTGGAACAATCCGCTTGAATAGGCTTTTCGCAGTTGTACCACCATTAGGCAGCTTCAACGTCGGATTAACGATTAAGCTCCTTATAGCAGCTGTGGTGCCCGCGTCTGCTTCAGTATACAGAAAAAACAAGCACTGAGATTAGTAGAGGAGTACTGAAAAAATTGTAAAGGACCATATTGATGAGCCCTCATACGAAGCGAACCTCTAGTTTTAAGGCCATTTCACATTTCGATTCGCATGCAGGATATTATGCAATTCCAACCTCAGAAATTCTACTACATACTTGCATGTTTTCCCATAGCGCGTTCACATTGTCTTCCGGTACTTCAACCTGCAGTTCCTCAAGGGCAAATAAGAATACAGTAATTTTGCTGTTTGCATATTGAATGAAGGTATTATTTCAGTTAATGTATTTTTAGACTGCAAGGCACTCACTTCCCTGATCAGTTTAAAGATAGTCGACAGCATGGAAATTCAAACGGAATGACATCTAATTATTATAATTACCGGGAATTAATCAGCTGACAATTAATAAGGATTACCGTGTCAGTTTTGTGAATTTTCTTTGCTGCGATGAATGGAAGGCGTGCCAGGACTAATTGAAGGAGTGATTTTGGTATCGAGTTTGCTTGAATGGAGGAAGTACATAGGGTCGTTCAGAAAACAATGGCAATACTTCTAGGACATGAAGTAGATAAAAAACACAAAGAAGTTCACATAGTCATGGATCATAAAATGCCCCCTTACCGAGATACAGACAGATGGACGAAGGTGAGATCTCTCGACTCTTTCTTCCGAAAATGATTCCAGAAGCGACTATTCTATTAGTGCTCAGGAATACATCCCTCGAAAAGAGAACCACGCCCGCTTTCTCTTATTACCTGAGTCTATCCCAGAAAAAGCTGCTGCGAGGAGTCTTAGAGCGAAAGCGGTTTAAAGTGTCATTGATCATATTCTTTGATGTACGTAATCGAAGCATCTAGCTCACCTGATTTCTGATATTAACCAATTTTTTTATACTAAATCCGGTTTCCCATGTTTGTCCTTAAATTCAAACAATTTTCTCGTTTCTTTATTAATTAGTATATATTGTACGTATTACTACAACAATCAATAATGCTTGCAATCTAGACAAGAACTGGTTTAGTGGTTCAGTTGAGTGAAGAGGCCTTGAATCTAATGTTAATAAAGGAAATCTCCAAATAACCCCTTTTCTCACTCTAGATATAACATTACGATACCCTTTCTTTGCGATATCCGATATCAGCATCCCAAATACTACCATGTATAAATAAACTCAGTCTTTATCTACTTCCAACCGTGAGTGAGAAAAAGAGACGTTTAGTATGAGGCGATCTTTGTCAGTTTGAAAGAAATCGCAAAATTAAAATCTAATCTTGGTTGAGCCGATTCCGTACATCACGAATTTGATGAAAGTTTCTCACTGAGATGGTCTAAACACCTCCAAATTCCATTTCCTTACCACAAATAGTTCTTAGCGACAGAACACTTTGATGGCCATATTTACAATAGGTATCCCAAATTACCCCAGTGCATTTCATTTGTGTGTAAATACGTATAACGAAGACGAAAATTTTGCCTAGAGGTATTTATCGAAGAAAAAATCTTGATCATTTGTACCTTAGATATAGACTCATTTTGCTGGTAGATCTTGAGCTTGATCGAGAATCTAATGCCGTTTCTCGCCGAGATTAAGGAAAGACGTTCATTGCTTACAAAATAATTGCAGCTTGTCCATGCTCTAGAAGTTTGCTTTACATCTAACAATTTGTCGTACAGTAAATAGTACAAGTCGACCTTCGATTTAACGACAGTTAGTGTAAAACACAAATTGTGCCTTAATTTGCCAGCACAATAAATTGGCCATTATATCCGATAATTGGAACTGCACTAAATTTCGCTGTACTTCAAAGGTGTACTTGTTCCCATTCCACTTGTTTTTTGAGACTTTGGAAAGTGATTTGCTGGTATCACACGGCACACATGTTCTGAATAAATCCGACTTTACATTGTTGACCCATGATGGTGACAAAGGACAATGCAGTTGAAGTATGCTGGCACTAGTTGTTCTCTCGTAAATTTTTCTGAGGACTTAGGAAACATTACTCATTTTGATTTCGATTTTAATCATGGACCGGGTAACATAATGTGAGATACAGGAATTTTGAATTGGTATAAAATGGTTTACCACTTGTATCATTCTACTATTCGAGGAACATACTCATTATTCTAGAAAGGTAATTATTAACACGAAGATTCTGCTGAGGCTGAAAAAACGGTTGCAGCAAAAAGAAATCCCTAAGGAATACCCACTCTGGTAGTTTCTTACAAAGATGAATATCGAGTATGAAGAAAAAACACGTTGTCTGTAAAATAAGTCACCACAGTTGTATTTTGGAATGATGCTTGAATGGTACGAAAATGGCGTCATAAATCCACTCTATACTTCCCACGCTTTCAAGCCAACTTCCAGTACAATTTTCCATGTAATGGCATAAAAACCCTTAGTGCAGTAATGAATAATAATAATAATTCAAATAAATACCGGACGATACCATTAGAATTACACTGCAAGCATAATGCTCGTATATATTGACAATATCGCGCCCACCTCGTGTGTGCATACCGCGTCAACGCGGCGTCTGCTACCTGCTTTCATAAGACCCTCGAATCCACTACCAAAAATGCAATTTTGACAATCCCGAGGCGCACGGTAAGTGTGCTGAAGATGTACGAGGAAATCTACGATATCTTAATATGCTTGTATCAAAATATAGCGATAAGAGTTCATCGAAATCCGAGCAGTACTTTCAAAATCATAGATGCGTCAACGGTTAGCGGACAGACCGCAAACACACGACGGAAATGTCTGACGCCATATAACATCCAAAAAACATAAGATTTGATTTTAGAAGCTTTTCGCGATCACAATACGTCTTCGCCACTAGCCAATGGATGGCGTTACTAAAAATGTAGAGGGTAAGTGAACTATTTGGGGATTATTATTTAATACGAAGTCTATTATCCAATATATGACACCTCTTAACACTCAGTAACATATGATCTTGTAACAAAAATATTGAGGTGAAGGTTTTCGCAGTGACTCACAGCGCAGAAGATATTTGCGTAACCGAACATGTGAGCGTCCAGTCATTGACACTTCTTTCTCGGGATCCGAACAACAACAGTTACATTGTGTGTGTGTGTTAATCTTTGGCCGCTTCTGTTCATCCAATCGACAAGAACAATGCGTGTGAGCTTATGATCTCGACATAAAAAATATGTTTGAAATGATAATTATGTCCGTTAGGATATGGAAAAATACGCGATTAGGATGTGCATTTATAATGGAAGGCAGCAGAGTTTTAATAAAGAAGGTGTGAATGCAGCAACAGCAAGTTGCAGTGACGGTGAACTAACAAGAAGTCTATATGGTCCAATAAATATGGGGACACCTTGACGAACACCAGGTTTTCTTAATTATGGTGCTTAGGCGCTGGTGGACTATCCTAGATTATGTAATAAGGTGTGGGTTAGGGGTGTGTTTTGTCTTCAGTTTTGTTTAATGCATACTAGGAGAAGCTGATAAAGCCCTTTGTGATGTAGGTGAAGGTATAATGGTCAACGGCATTGATAGCAACAATTTGCGTTACGTGGACGACAGGCTGCTGCTCATAGATAGATAGCGAGGTCGGGACTGGTAAAGAGTATTGAGCTTGATTCAAAATAATGATAATCAGCAAAAATAACAACGTATACGCTCAGTTCTATGCAGAAGTTGTCCTACAGCTTTAATTACCCGAACTGTCACCTCAATGAGATCGCTCTAAAGAGTCCAAAACATAAATTGAAAAAAAAAGAAGTTTGGTCTGCGGAATGAAAAGAATATTTGCAATCTCCTAATCTAGAACTTCGACCGCGTGTGTTGTGATCTTACATGTCCTCTATAGTCAACTATGGTGCTGAAGCATGGACGCTGACAGAGGGCAAAGCGGCTACATTCTAGGAACTCTGGTGCTACAGACATATGTTACGAATATCGTACTGATATTCCATAATGCAAGGGATGACTAAAGACAAAGGAGGTGCTTGAAGCAATTAAAAGAAGAAAGATCGTTTACAATGGAAAACACATAGAGGTGAAGAATGTGGAATCTTCGGGGTCCAGGACCAATACGCAACTCGTGGCTTAAAAATATACAGCAGTAGACATGTCTCACTTATGTCGAATTATTTAGATCAACAATCAATAAAGTGATGTGGGCCAGGCTGATAGTCAACGTCCATTGAGGTTATGACACCAGAATAAGAAGACAACCTTGATTCTAAGTTAAATACAAGTTATAGTGGATACACCAACCACATGAATATTGAAGCATTAGTTTTTGTTAAACTTGTCGTCCAAGTTTGAAACGCATTTGGAATACCAATTGTACTAATTTCCTACCGTCATTATTGAGTTGTTAACTTTTGCAGATAAAACAACAGACGTACGTATCAGGGAAATTGATTTTCTACTATTTCGTAATGTCATCACACTATTGACAATAACGGGACTAATGACAATCAAAAACATGTAATGTGGAAATGAAAGAACAGGTTTTGCTTTTCCTATTTATAGCAGCTAATCAAATTAGTGAGAACGCTACAGTGGCAATGACAATCATTATCCTGACGAAGGTTAAAATGAATAAATAAATAGACATATCTTCCGACAGTCAAGTTGGAGACTATTTTAGCAGATAATAAGAGGATAATCCAGAGTCAATCTTATTTAATTCTTCAGCTTTGACTATAGTTGGTTGTCTGGTATTTCTCTGAACTGCCATTCTAACATCAGTGACTATCTTATTCATCTTTTTAGGAAGAATTGCTTGAACATTGAGTTTGTTTTAAAAATAGATTCAATTGCAACGACGTGAAAGATTTCTTACTTGAACGTCAACAATGAACCATAAGGAAATCTTAGAAAGGCACTGGGCCCATTTGCAGATTTCTGCACCTTGAGACACTAAAGCATATATTGATGAAGGTTAATCATCATATTTTTACTCTTTCCGAAACCATCTTACAAAGTCATCCTCCTCTGAAGGAATCAAACCATGGACTAGGAGTACTGTCTCGCCACCCAGATATTCTTCCTTCATAGAAAAGTTGGATGGGAAGCTTCTACTAACCACAAATAACAAACAAAAGTTCTGATTCTAACTGGATTCCTAGGCTTGCACTTAATGTCTATGTCGTTCATATGTATGACCGCAAGGCAACGTTGAAATTAGTTACATTAAAACTAATGAAGTTAATAACATTTAGTTAGAATCAGGGCCCAAGAATCCTGGTGGATCCTTCAGCCTCAGGTGTTTGCAAACATGGCCTGTTAGCTCTTATTGAGGTTGTATTATTGAGGTGATATTTTCAATCAGATACTGCATTAAGCTACTTAGATCATTAGGACCAGTCGTGAAAACATTTTCATGGGTATATAACCGGAATTATGTTCCCTTACAGTCCTTATATCGTTTTCCTAGGAAGTGAAAGCTTTTTGTGCTCTTCCGGAGAGGACTACTATAATTTTTCCGAAATTAACCCCAGACCATCGTTTGTGGAGGCTCATATTAAAAATCATTGTTGTAGCTACAGAAAAAGCGATACACCAAGAAAGACAACGCAGGTAAAACGAAACTTCTCCAAAGAAAACCAAACATAAAAATTTGCAAGGAATATAAAATGATAGCAGAATAAAAAATAAAAAATCGGCATTACTGTATTGATCGACCAGCCAAAGATTGCTAGGGACGAAAGGGGGAAATGCGATGAAAAAACCTTACCATTAGACGATTTTATATGGAGTCATAGGCGGAGATCGGAGAGACTTGAATTATTAATTGAATTTATATTTTATTACAACTGGTAGTATTAATATTTTTTTGCGATTCATAATGACGTGATACCAAACATACATTATAAGAAATAAATATACACAAACACTGAATATTGAGAACAAAATAAATATATTTTTTAGGCAACAAGTAATATTCCTATGTACGCATTATGATTGAACAGCAAAACAAATTATGCATTCTTCTAAAATAGAATACAACAAGTCAAAAATATCTGACTGAATAGAAAAATATAGGAAAACAAAAAGTAATTTCTTGATGAAATAACCCATAAACAACACATAGAATTAGACTTTCTACTGAGATACTAAAAGCCACAAACCAATAGTATAATAAATGAATATCTAAAAATTCTAAAAGGTAGCCAATCTAGTATAGTTTCAATCCTGATTAGAGTCATGATCACTGTCTGAGGAACTGTCATTGCTATCACTTTCACCTCCTATGTTGATTATTATTTCTTCCTGTATTTCTTGAATGAGACTGTCTTTTTCCCAATATTCATCTTCAATTTTTATAACATGTCCAATAACCTTTTGCCAGTCACTGGCACTTACTGAAGCGATGGCCTTATTAGAAATTTCATCTAGTTTTTTTATAGTAAATTCGCCGCTTGTATTATGGCTTCTAATGAAAAATTTTACTTGTGCCCAAATCATCTCTATGGGATTAAACTGACACATATAGGGTGGCGTTCGAAGTGGGGTGTGTCCGAAACTTCTTATTAAATTATCTATCTTATAATTTTTCTCATCAGATGGTGGCCTATGTAGACAAGCTATTTCATAAAGCTCCATTTTTTTAGCATTAGGATCATGCTCTATACCTTTTTTGCTCAACCACGTGATGATGTCTCTTTTTAGAGAAGATCTAGTTGGAGGCTTGTCTTCCAAAGCTGAATGGTAAGGTGCATTATCCATTATTATAATACTATTAGGAGGAATGTTAGGAAATAGTTTTTCAGTAAGCCACTTCGTGAAATTTTCTTGGTTCATTTGACCGTGATAATCACCAGTGGCACAGCCAGCCTTGAAAATGAGACAGGCTCCAGGAACAAAACCATCTTGCGAACCCGCATGAACAATTATAAGTCGTCCTGGAAATGAATAAATAGCCTCATTTTAGTGTTATTTTAAGTTTGCCAACACCTTTTTGAATCACTATGTATAAAAAACATATTTTTGAGAAAAAAATACTTGCAAGGGATTATGTATTCAATTAGACAAATTAAATGAGCACTTATTAAGAATATTCCAAAATTGAGAAAAATGTATAATAAGCAAAATCGAGGTGAAAGAAACTTTATTACCTGTAGAACTTATATTGCTCAGGACACCCATAATTTCTTCGCTTTGCCAGCATTTCTTGAAAGTGAGGTCATTATCAACCCAAGTTTCGTCCAAATAAATAATATGCCTTCCTTCTTCCCGGAACTTTTTAATAGACCTAATATACTTGTATCGCCAATGTAAAATACTGGGTCTTTCCATTAGTAATTTCCTTTTGTTGTGGCATTTACGCCAGTAAAATCCTTTTGCTTTTAAAAGCAGCCTCAACGATTCTTTACCAAATGGAAATTCCATTTCTTCCTTCAGTTTGATTAGAAGTTTACTACAAGTAGGTACCACTTTAAAATCACAGTAAAATTTTTCTATCATTCTCCGAATAATGGAAAAATCGACTCCATCAATTTTTTGGATCACAGAAGGGCGTGATCTCTTTTTTCCGGGAGAAGCTAAAGGCTGTGTGGAGGTTGCATTTTGCCTGTCTTTATCTTCTTTTCTAATTTTACTTATAGTTCGTTCACTAACACCCGTATAATATGCCGCCCTTGCATTTCTAGCTACCAGTGGATAAACGAAAGTATTGTTAGCCGCTTCTGCATCGCAAGCACGTATCACGTTTGCTATTATTTCCCTTGCCTGGCTGTGAATAACTTTCCCATGCTTGAATTCCATTATCACCACTAAACAGTAAATTATATTTTCAAAGTATTTGCCAACTGCCTACGCCTATGGGAGTAGGTTTATAAATGACCGTGCCATCGGCACGTTATTCTAGTTTCAGATAAGATAAGAGTTTTGGACCAATCAGCGACCGGATGTTTACCTGCGGCCTGGGTTTTCCAGCTACATTGCCAAATTCAGCGGAACAATTCTATATCTTAAATATGTTAATATGTATGGACCGCATTTTATGTAGAACATCTGACAACTTCGCAATTTTTTGTCCGCATTCTTTCGGCTTGCAATCTTTCGCTGGTCCAACAGTATCACATTCTGCACAGAAAAATGAAATATTATTGCACTGCTAGTATCCACATATCCACATTCTTGATCCTTTGCAATTCCTTAATCTCCTTTGCAGAAGTAACCGCCACACTCGGAAAGATTGTTTCCGAATAATAAAAGCAACATAAACAGAAGCACTGCAACTGATCCTACCTGCAGTGAAAATAATCCAATCGACACCAAGCTCAGAGCAACATGAACTAACAGTCATACAATACGGTGGCACCCACAGTCACAACAATAATAAAAAATGCACAGCACTCGGCAGAAAAGCTAAAAACCGCCCGGCATGAACGTCAACAACCCGATCGCAAGCGACTTTGAAGCGCGACACGCGACACCTGAAAGCACGATACTTTCCAGTCGACGCGAGAAGCAGCAATAAGCACAGAACAGAGAACACCGGCTGTGGCTCGCTGCCCGCTTACCCTGAACAGATCAAAGATTGCTGTGAATGCACTCGCTGGCTGGTGCGCCAGACGTTCGGCACTTTTGCTGCCAGAGCGTTGTGCTTTGCTTACCTTGTCTCCCCCACAAAACGCGATGCAATTCGATGCACCACGGCTGCATAGACTCAGATGATGCAGGGATGAAAGGGGTATCGAATCAATGCCAGACGGTTGCTCAGGATAGGTAGGTGACTGTTATTGTTGATTTGCACCCTGGTTCTTACATTCTGCGTTTTTCTTCCAGCACACAAAATTCTATATTTTATGCTCAATTCGGATCATCTCATTGTATTCATTGTTAGTCTGCGTTTTGCATTCTGATTGTAGTAACCTACGTGTTTCAACCAGTGCACTCCATAACCTGCCTTCCGTAGCCGGTACCTTGTAGCATGCATCATGTAATCGTATATTCGTATTCTGTATTCTGTTATCCGTCATTTAAAAGCTGTAGTCTGTCTTGCATAATAAGTGTTATGAGATGTGCATTTTTTGATCTATATTCTATAATATGTTTTCTGTAATATATCTTGTGTAATATCTATTCTATCCTTCGTATTCTGTAATTTGCACTCTGTAATCTGTGATCTGTATTCTGCAATCTGTATTCTGTAATCTGTAATCTGTATTCTGTAATCTACAGACACATTCTGTAATCTGTATTTTGTATTCTATGATCTGTATTCTGTAATCTGTATTCTGTAATCTGTATTCTGTAATCTGTATTCTGTAATCTGTATTCTGTAATCTGTATTCTGTAATCTGTATTCTGTAATCTGTATTCTGTAATCTGTATTCTGTAATCTGTATTCTGTAATCTGTATTCTGTTTCTGTAATCTGTATTCTGTAATCTGTATTCTGTAATCTGTATTCTGTAATCTGTATTCTGTAATATGTATTCTGTAATCTGTATTCTGCAACCAGTATTTTGTAATCTGTAATCTATAATCTGTATTCTGTAATCTGTATTCTGTAATCTGCATTCTGTAATCTGTATTCTGTAATCTGTATTCTGTAATCTGTATTCTGTAATCTGTATTCTGTAATCTGTATTCTGTAATCTGTATTCTGTAATCTGTATTCTGTAATCTGTATTCTGTAATCTGTATTCTGTAATCTGTATTCTGTAATCTGTATTCTGTAATCTGTATTCTGTAATCTGTATTCTGTAATCTGTAATCTGTATTCTGTAATCTGTATTCTGAAATCTGTATTCTGTAATCTGTATTCTGTAGTCTGAATTCTGCAACCAGTATTCTGCAATCTGTAATCTATAATCTGTATTCTGTAATCTGTTTCTGTAATCTGTAATCAGCAAAATGTATTCTGTATTATGTAATATATAGTATGTAGTATATATACCCCAAACTGTGTTTAGTCATATGTACCTGTAATCTGTATACCGCTATCGGTATTATATGTTCAAAGTTTGTAGCCTTCTATAATATTTGTACTACGTAACCTGTCCTCCGATTTCTACAGTATCCAACTATTATTTTGTAATTTCTTCAAACTGAGCAGCCGCGAAGCCAAGCTTTCAAAAGGATATGAGGAATATTTAATCGATTTGTTAGGACAGTAAGACCTGGGTACATTTGCCGACTGACCTCCGATTCTACTTGATTAAGCCTACTGTCCACACCACTATCTTGAACATCATTTTAGATATCAGTGTATAGTCGTAATAAGTCCTGATAATTGGTTTTACAAAGCGTGAGAAGGCATATCAAAAGCCTTTCCAGCACGACTTATGTTCCGATTCTGGTGAGCCCGGTATTTCCACTGGTGCTCAAAAATTGTTTGAGATAGCTTTAGATAGGGTGTGACTTTTTATATTTTATACCAATAAACCAGAGATCCAGCTTTGATCTTTCCAATCTCAAAGCTGAATTATCTACTGAACAGCGTCAGCAGTCACCATAAAACAAAATACACACTTATTTATAATTTTGGTGAATGTTGGTACTACGGCTACTATTTATTATTATACGGATTCCCCGTTGATTTGTTATTCCAGCAAAGCTCATACAACTAAGAACAAATAAAATAAATTATCTCAGCATCCGTATCAGATGCATTGTCGAAACCGTTGCCAATATCAGAGTTGAAAGCCGTCCAACTGCACCAGTTCGTTGCCTTTGCGGGCTAGTTTCTTGCAACATGATGGATTGTTACGAGTATCATGTAGAAAGCATGAGCTTTTGATACATCCGTAATTGAGCTTATCCATTGCCCACACCGTGGTGCATGAATGCGCTATAAGAATTTGCTTAGGACACATCTCGATAAAGCATCGGTTCTAAGCTTAACAAATACATTGAACGAACATGATCACGTTTACGTACAAGGTCCATATAATATTCATATGTCCAGTGCAAAAAGGAGGTGATTATGGCCCGCGGTGTAGAATTAGCAGCCATGGCGAGAAGCGCCGGCTCTAGCACGTGGTATAAACCCTTATTACGCCCGACGTACATGAAAAATTCAACCGACGCACGGCTAAAATAAAAAAAAGTATAGCAGCTTTTATGTAGAATTAACAATAAGGATAGTATTAGTTGTATGTATAAGTATGGACAGTTTCCGTAGTCGCTATATTGTATTCAAGTTATAAACGGCGCTAAAGTTAGTTTACCACCCCAGGGCAAAACGGGTTCGTGGGCTGGAAGGTGAGGTTTAACACCTCATGAAGTGCACTTTTCCTCCCAGTCTTAGCTGGAGATTTTCTATAAGCAGGATATTAGTTGCTTACTAGCACCTGTCTGCTTTTTGTCTCTGTTCCCCAAGCAACGGCATGGCTATTATGTAAAAAACGTCTAAAAAAACCTACAAAATGTCATCTTGCAGACTAGTTTTTAGAGTGCAAACACCAATTCCACGTTTGTTCACTAGGACCGTTGTGAGCGTCGATCTATGGAGGAATAATTCAACTACAAGCATTGTTGGTTGCATATATTTTGTAAAGCCGAGTAGTCCGTAGGTTTCATCTCTGAGAAGATATGGAACAAAGAAAGTTGGTTAAATATTTATGTGTATAAAATCAGTGATATTTGCTGTGTGAGAAAATTATTGCTGAACATGCTGTCAATGAAGTATATCCATTACCTGTGCCCTACGGGTTATTCATAATGTTGTCCTCTATGAAGACGGGTTATGTTCAAAGTTATAAACTACCATTTTTTCCGTTTTTTGTGTTTTCAAAAATTATACAACAAAATGAGTTCACAACAAGTGTCCATCAGCTAGTGCTAAGCTTACATCTTGCAGAAAAACCTACCTGCCGATGCGGCATTCCAGACATCACAAACCAGCTTCTTACCAGCAGCTACCGTAAATAGCCAGCTTCGATCTTTCCAAAAGAACCGGTTCAAGTTTAACACACTAAACTTATCCTGTGACTTCCATGTTGGGTTGCCTACAAATATTGATACAGGGTGAACTTTGTTCAACCCTGTAACGATTTTATTGTGCGTTTATTCTTCTGGAACGTCAAAGGAGCGGTTTTCTTTCCGTGCCCAAAACCTTGAGAATAAGAGTGTCATTATCATAGTTTATTATTTACTTTATACGGTTATCAAAAGGAGCTCAAAATTGGCAGAGCATATATTTTTGATGATATAGCCCATTTATTATAGTCCATAGTGTCTCTTATAATAAATACAATAGAGATTTTTTCGCGAGATCCCGTAGTGAACGGAGCGGAAACAGATGGAATTTCCCCTTCCTCTCGAAGTTTTGACAGTTTCAAATTACACCGGGAATGGTTATTAGATGGCGCATTTTGAGACGACAGATGCACCGCGGCTCTCAAGGCTATTCCGGAGAATCCTTCCGTGATGCCTTCAATGCTTGGAAATCGCCCTGGCAGCACTACATCGGCGCAGGAGGAGCCTATTTTGAAAGTTTTTAAAGAATTGTAACGATTGGCTCAATAAATTTTTTTAAATCGACTCAGTCCTATTACTCTTCGGACACACCCTGTATCAATAGAATCAACCATTTGATATGGCAAGTGTGGTTCCTATATCTCCGTCTTTTGAAATCAGGTGGACGTGTTTCTCCATTTATGATTAAATAATTTAACTCAATTTTCGGCACTGCGCGGACAAATTTCCATTTCGAATGTCTGTCTTTTAAATGACATTGACATAAGACCTGTTACCCGCTATTACTTCACCGACGTTAGACGGTTACCCGTACCACGTGATTTTTTTACATTTGGATGACGTCACGCCCGTCTTCCCCTTTTCCCGTTCTTCGTGAAAATATTGACTATCAGTTCCCGGTAGTGCATGGCTACACCGTGGACTCGCGAAAACATGTTTAATGGTTACATGACTGTAACAATTTAGGCGTTCTTAAAACAAACCTTCACAAAATTTCATCCACGTACATACGAGTTACACCTTAGTAGCTTGAATCACCGTAAATACTATCCAACAAACCAAACCGACCAGGGATCTCTATTTCTATATAATAATAATAAATTGCTTTTATTGCTCATGTAAGTACAGAAAAAGAAAAAGTACATAAATCTGATGCAGTGAGCAGACGGCAAGGTTCGCTTGATTGACAACCATTAGTTGTCAATCCGCGCTCTTCCACCTAACCAAAATCTTGGAATCAGTATAGCTTAAGATCTCTGAACATTGCCGCTCGCCATACTGTAAAATCTCATATAAGAACTAGCGTGTCTTGTACCATGAGACAGCTTAAAAAGTGTACAATGGCTAATGTTTCTATCAGTAAAAGACGCTAGACCCGCGCACAAAAGCATAATTAAAATTCCCGTAAGGGATGCCCCCACTGAAAATTCTCTTAAATTCCCAATTTGGCCGCCAGTTGTTGTGTGAAGCATGTGGTGGGGTAGGAAAAATGAATTAATTTCACGGCCTCTTAAAGGGGAGAAAGAGTTTGTGTGGGACACCAGGCCATGTATTCGTGGTTGGCACTTCAGTTGTAATGCGGTATTCAAGTGATTTTAAATAGGGGTGCGGTGCAATTTCAAGAGTCATCAGATTCGTGTGTATATATTTTTTAGCACTTACAATCCCCTATTGAAAGAGATTATTTTTTGTTTACGAGTTAGCTTATTCGGTAATTATACTAAGTGACATATAAATCCGAACACCCAGTTTAAATGGTTTTATTTTAATAAAAGTTGGTGAATGAATTTATCTTACTGTAAATAACAAGTGAAAAAATTTTCAGCCTTATCAGTTGGACATTCCGGTTTTTATACTGCTTTTTTTAATTCACTAATGCTCTAAAAATGAATATTTCAGCCGCAGTAAGGAATCAAAGTTGGCAGATTTTAGTTCTTGACATCCTTTACGATCGGTTACGATGCCTAGAGTACGGAGACCTGTACGATTTCGTCAACTTAGTGAGTTTGATAGGGGCCGTATAGTGGGACTTCGGGAAGCTGGACTTTCTTTTCGGGCAATTGCAGTTAGATTGCAAAGAAGTGTAGACACTGTGGTTAGGTGTTGTCAGGCATGGCTTCAAGAAGGCCGTCCGCAAAGAGCAAGGGGCACTGGACGCCGCCGTAGAACAACAGACCGTGAAGATCGCCGCCTAAGGTTGTTGGCCTTAAGGGACCGTTTCTCCACTACCAGGTCCATTGCAAATGAATGATTTGC